AAATATAATTGACGCAAATCCAGTTCAGCATGCTCGGAGTAAGCATATCCAGATTGATTATCACTTTGTTCGTGGACGCGTGGCTCATGGTGATCTTATAGTAAATATGTGCCTACTAGTCTTCAGCTGGCGGATGTATTTACTAAAAGTCTTTCTAGTCAGCAATTTCATTTTGTAAAGGACAACATGCGCGTTGTATCTTCTGCACAGTTTGAGGTGGTGTAATAGCCTAATATTAAATTAAGCATACTTTGTATTTTTGGTAACTCTCTCCACTTTAAATATATCTGTCAGGGCTCCCATTGGGTACCATCTTTGTTGGTCCCGGTTGTAGGAAACAGTCTGCGGGGGGGGGGGGGGGGGGTGAATAAACTGTTCTGGTTTTTCTAATTCTTGTGAGTCAAAGGGTTTGTCTCACAGAGTATGTCAAGTTCTTTGACAGAACTGACCGGCAGCGGATAGGTATTCTGGTCAGGTAGCCTTGCGAACACACTAAGGCAGTTTTGTCTTTCTGTTTTCTCTAAGGCAAGATTTGCTGAGCACAAAGTCCAAGCCCTTTTGAGAATAACAGTAGAAGTCTAAGTGCAAATAATAAAAGCAGTAAGTAGATGACACCAGAGATTTTATAGTGGTTCAAGGAACAATTTGTTCCTCTAATCCACCCTTCCACTAAGCTTGTAAGAACTCAAGTTACAACACTTAAATATCCTAGCACTCAAGAAACACTCCACGTCTTCTTCAAGTCTAGTTGTCACCCGAGATGCACTTCCTTGCTTCCTGATGATTGACCTCTTTCACTGAGCTTTCTTGAAGTATCAACACTTCACTCCAGTTACTTTAAGGCGTCCTTCTTAAACAAGAAGATCTCTTTCAAAGATTTAAAAGGTTTGGTCCAACCTTCTTCGTGATAGATGTGAGGATGAGGCTTTCGAAGTAGTTGAAGTATAGCTTTCGAAGTAGTTGAAGTATAATAATATTTTTGGTTTCCAACTATAGCTTGACCTCTTTTGATGGATATGGATGATGAGCTCTCAAGAGAATTTTTTAGTTTGCTTGATTTCAAAAGATAGTTCTCTTACCAGTCCTTCGAGGTGTATCATACATACTGAAAGATGTCTTCCTATTGGACTGTAGAAAACATCTTCATTAAATGCTTGCACAGTTGATTTGACCGGTTGGTTCCCGCAAAGTAGTCAACTTACTATTTTGGGGCGTATTAAATAATATTCGTCTAGATTCTTCAGTCAATGATGCGCTTTAAATATCTCAACGAGTGGAGAGCATTAAACGTGCATTCAATGCGTCGAGCAGTAGCTCTTCCGTTGAGAGGCTCCTAGCCGTTAGGCACTTTCCCGTTAGTTTAACGACTTCGGTAGAACTTCTAAGGACTAGCGGTTCTGGGAGCACTTCTGTAGAAGACTGAGTAATCAATATAACCTTTGAGCAGTTCTGTCCATGGCAAAACATACGACCTTGGCAGTTCTGGCTCGTCAGATATTCTAATACTTGTAACATAAAACTTCTAATACAATTTTTTAAATGGGTACTAGCATCATCAAAATCTAAATACAATTTATTCCTTACAACTTTTCTCATTGTTTCACAAAATGTAGTTTTTTTTTTCAATTTTAGAAAAGCTACGACTTAAAAAAACGCCAAAAACAAATACTTATAATATACAATATCAAATGCATGTCAAATCTGTTTTCAAGGTAAGGTTCATATTCCCATCATAGAAATCAACCATAAGATAAAATTCATATATAATCTCTCATCAAGTAAAGAGTGAATCTCTTATTCTTCAGAGTTTCCTTATCGCTTTCAGCCAATGAGTGTACAACGAGTGGATTTTGACCAGTATTCATATCACCATAGATATTCTTGGGAAATTTCTTTATCCAAGAAGAATTTTTTGTTTGTCACTATACACAATAAAATACATTGATACGTGCCAACACATAAAAAATTTATTGAGCGGCATAGTTTACTCTATAGTAGTGCAGTACAAGTGTAGTGGTGCGTATAAAAATGAAAAAAAATATGTGTATCAAATAAGCTTGTGATTTACTTTTCACAAAGTGTGCCAAAATATCATTTAGTTAACAAATGTAGTTTCTAAGATAATCATTGAAGATACTCGAGTCCAGAATGTCAACCTCCGGTCAAATTGATCAATTATCTTTTTTCTTTTTAAAATTGTACATTATAGCGTATGGTGATGCATAAATCTATATACTTGTATGAAGTGTCAATAAAAATTTGTAAAACTCTGTGTGAAAATCCTTTATCACACAACTAACTAATAGAGGAAATTGAATGTGGTAGATGAGCTAATAATAAAAACTATGTAATAGTACTCAAGTCCTTCTCAATTTAAAATATCAAATTCAAGTTGAAATGAGTAATTTATTTTCTAAGAGTATGAATGATAAAATTATAAGTGCATCAATGATATTTATATTATACGTAGTAAAAAATTGTAATATGAAAAGTTGCATTTTTTTGCGCGAAATTTCTTTATGACACAAAAATTGAGAGGGGATTATAGTAATTATTATATCAGATGTGATTAATGAGTTTCCCTCGTACTAAATGTACAAAATGTATGGTACACGTAGAAGATGAACAATAGTTGTATATTACTGATCAGTCAAATCTTTTTCTTTAATGCAAGTGGTATTATATAAGTAGGAACAATATTTTATACATGCTACAATAAGTGTGCGCACATTACCAGGATATACAACCAAATCTGGAGTTCTAATACATAAGGGGTGTTTAGATCTGATTCTTAAAACTGCTTATGCTCCATCGGGGGGGGGGGGGGGCAGTGTTTGGGTGAAAGTGTAGAAGTGATTCTGATGTTCTAATTTACTTCTAGAATCAGTTTTATTATAAACTGGGTGAGACCAGCTTCTGAAAACTGATTCCGATTCTTCTTCTACTTTAAAAAAGAAGCGGAAGCACAATCAGTTCCAAGCCCCCCCATAATGTGATGAAATTGAGCATTCTAATTAATAAAAACTGTAAATAACTTGGAGCAAATATCATAGTACCTGATTCTCAAAAACACAAATGAATGCCAATTTCGAAATATATATGGCAAAATGAAAAGTATATCACTAGATTTATATGGGCATAACCGCATGAATATATCATTTGATATTGAAAGAAAATGCATTCAACTGATTCAAATGTTTATAAAAACAATGATCACATACTTACTATCTGCGAAATTAAAAAAGTACCTCAAACGGCTGTGTTGCATCAGAATTTGATGAAATGGAACTTTGATTTGGAAGTTGGACAACTCTCTATTGGAAAATTTCACCTCCAAGCAAATTGTAAAGAGAAACAATGAAGCCGTATGAGCGGCGAGCGATTGCACTTCCGAAGAGCGAAGACATGTGGCGACCTTTGTAGCAATGGTGGGGGGGGGGGGGGGATGATGTAGCGCTTGAAGGATGGTTCAACGGCTATTCAGATCTCGGTCTGCTCGCATCTTTCGTCCGCCATTTCTCCACAGTTGCAACGTTTATCGCCACTTTGCCTCAAATTGGAGGGGGTAGCTGGAGGAACCTCAATCGGTGACTGAACGGTCTGGCTACCAGACTGACCATTGAATTGTCCAGCTATAGTCCATTCTAAGCAAGTATGTCAGAGCAGTAGACATGAGAAAAGAACGGGAAAACGCTGACAGGAGCTTGCGGATGAAGACATGAAGGACAACATCAGATGATGGCCATCCATTTTTCCTACAGATCTAGTTTCTAACCCGCGGCTGTCAGTGCTACCAGAGGCAGAACACAGGAATGACAATGGGAGAGATCGAGAAGAGAGAAAGATAGGGTTAGAGACTCGTGCTGACTTGTTGTAGGAAGAATTGTGTGTAGAGTTTTATTACCAAATGCCCCTATAAATAGGGATAGATCAGGGTTTACAATTCCAAGTACGGGCTAATAGGGCCATACATAGTTTACATAGAACGACTCTAATACATATTATTATTCTATATAAACGATAGCACACTACATTTAATTTCCTTCAACATAGGCCACTTATTTACTCTTTGTTACTATTGTATTTCTCACTCCTAAAGACAAAGATACATTCCTCTTAAAAACTACATGGGAAACTTCTGTAAAAGTGTATTAATTAGAAATTAAGTTGAAGATGGAACATGTGGTACAAAAAGGAAGCCTACAATTTAATTATGCGGTACAATTTGACTGAATTCACATCTTTTATTTGAAGATGATGAAGAACAATCCAAAATGCAAGTCAAATTAGGATTAATAATCTTAACGTACGAGTTCAATCATATTTGGTGAAAAGTGAAAAAATTAGAGATGATGACCTTAGATAAAGGCGCTACCACAAAGTGTAGATATGTGCGCCCTTGTGGACGAGGATACCGACATTGTGGATGAAGATGCGAGACTTTCATTTCCCCAGCTTTAGTTTCTTCGCCTTCATAGACGCTGCGAGAACAATCTTTCGTCGCCTTGCCCTGCCTTCTTTCTTATTACTCACAGACATTGAATGGTAAAATTGGTTAGAACTAGGGAAATACTATTGTGCAATAAACATATACTCCCTCCGGTTCACATTCTTCTTTACAGTTTGACTTCACAAATATTAAGGAAATAAATTTGACTTTACTGTAGTTGACACTGTTTGGACACTGTTTTGTATAGATTCGTTTGCCAAATAAGGCAAATAAGGAAGTGTAAAGAAGAATGTGATACTTCCAAAAAGGAAAGTGTAAAAAAGAACATGAACCGGAGGGAGTATTCAATAAAAATCCGAGCTGGATTAAGTTATCAATCAGACAATGGCAAATGTAGAATGCATCAAAACATTTTTAACCAGTCTAAAATTTTTGTAGTCAATATTGATCAAATAAATAAGTAAAATAAAGCCACTTGGGCAATCATGTAAGCGATTAAGTGGCCAAAAGTATAACTTGGGTGTTTTTTGAATGTTCAGAGAACTTACGGAGTATTTGATAATTTTAACAAAGATATAAGATTAAACTAGTAATTATCATCAAACTAGGGCGTAATCATAATTTCCTTTATATATAAATGCACTAATAAAATATCTACCCACCATACCATAGAATAATCAAAGAAGGCATCTAGATTCTTTCTTCCGTGGCTGGCTTCCTCTAGGTTATGCCGTTTCCCCTTCAGGTTCTCCATCTCTCTCTATCTCTCTACGCTACATACGTGCTACTGTGTCTTCCTATGAATTTGTGCGTGGACGTATTCGAAATTTTCTCTTTGTTCTTTCTACTTGATTCTCAGATTGTTCTATTCGCGGGATGAATTGTGTTTTGTATTGAATTCTGCTCCATGATTTGTATTTTCGGAATTGGATCTTTGTATTTATATTTTGACACGATCCGCACTTCGTAGTTTCGATTTTGTTTCTGAAAATACGATTGCGACGTATATTTTCCGGGGTTCATTCAGATTTGTAATTTCATTTTATACCAATTCCCCTTTTCATGGTGGTTTGTTTAATTGAAAAAACGCAAATAAATACTTGATCTTTTGTAAAGTATCTATTTTGTTGATTATTTGAAAATTCGATGAGGATAATCAGGCTAGGACTGGTTTATAATATTAAATGTTCTTTGCCTGGATCCACTTCGATCTTGGTTTGCTCAATAGCTTAATCCTTGTTTATTTCAGGTTGTGCTAGACTACAATTCCAAGGGATTAGTAGTACTTAGGATATGGAGCAAATGTTCCCCTGGTCCAATTTCTGCAAGTATAGAGTTTTTTCATTCCAGGAAGTGCTTGATTGGCGGTTTCTCACCTGCGGAGATTCTCTTCTTGTTTCCTTTGTCAACTGCACTTAGTCAACAGTTTTCCGTCAATGAACTCCACAGGAGGCCAAATGCGAATTCGTTATTTTATTAAGCGTGAGAAGCAGCAATCTGTTATTATGTTTGTTTTGGCTCCACTTTTATCCTCCTACAATACATTATTGCTACCGCTTTCCTAATACAACAGTCATCTGGGATCTTTTGAATTTCATAATTTGAGGTAATACTTAGTTTGCCAGTTTCTTTTTAACAAAGTTCTTGCAGAGGACAACTCTGTTCATATATCTGACGGTCTATATCCTCTCTAATGCAGGAATAAAGTTCTGCAAAAGAATCAATCATGTCATCTAATATAAAAAAAAGTTAGAGGTGTTGTGTAGCTTCTTAGAAACCTAAACGGCTAGGAGTATCTGGTTTACTCAGCTGAAGATCTTGCATCAACAAAGTTTAGCATAAATGAGAAGAGCTTGTTTTCTTGTTTGAGAAGTCACTGTAAACCATGAATTGAGCTGACAAGCAATCCTGTTTGTTTGGACTGCAATATGTTTACGCTAGGCTGTGGGTGATATGAAGATGTTTGACAGTCCTTGCATCACTTTGCTTTCGCGACCTTGTGTTCCCAGTGACTGCTTTGAGTTCATTGATGTGGCAATCATGTTTGTGAAGCTCCTCCATCAAAATCCTGCTGGTTTTATGTGGAAGTTAATACAAAATTAACAGTGGATTTTCATAAACCAGCAAGACCAGTAGTTACACACAACTATTGTCTTCTCCGGCATCTATTGAAGAAAGAAATACATACACATTTTTTGTGCGTGTCCTCTATATCCAATAAATTGTGCTGTGTGCTGGTTAATTAAAAATGGATAGGTGAGTTGGTTGGTTTAAAGCCTCTTTTATTTTTTTTTATGTTTAATTTGCGTGATTTTATTTACATGTGTTTGTTTTAAACAGGTACCATATAATTAATGAAGTCGGTAATGGTACTTTTGGAAGTGTGTGGCGAGCACTAAATCTTCAGACTGGTGAAATGGTGGGTTATTTAGCTGCAAAAAGTTCATCATTTGATTTTGCTTTTTCCACAAAGTAAGCCTTAACATTTGAACAGGTAGCAATCAAAAAGATGAAGAAAGAGTATTATTCATGGGAAGAATGTATAAATTTAAGAGAAGTTAAGGTAATATTCAGTTTGGTTTAAGCTTTTATTGATTTGTTTTATACTTTATTTATTTTGTAAAACATTAACAAAAAGTGTTTTTTGGCAGTCTTTGAGGAAAATGAACCACCCGAATATAGTGAAGCTAAAGGAAGTGATCAGGGAAAATGACAACTTGTTCTTTGTGTTCGAATACATGGTATGTGGCACTAAACATTGCCTTTATATTTTTATAACTGAAAATATCTCACATTGGCTTCTTCAAATTCTACTAGGAGCGCAATCTATATGAGCTAATGAAAGAGAGAGAGCGCAATCTATATGAGCTAACAAAAGAGAGAGGAAAGCTTTTTTCAGAAACAGAAGTCAGAAACTGGTGCTTCCAAGTATTTCAAGGTCTTGCATACATGCATCAGCGGGGATATTTTCATCGTGACCTTAAGCCAGGTACATCTCATGGGTAAACCAATCTAGTTTAGTTAGATGGTACAGACATCTACATCTTTTATTTTATTTTAATTATCTTTTTTTGTGTCTAATCTTTTGAGAATATTAAAAACCACTATCAGTAAACCAATCTACATCTTTGACTGATTAGTTCTCATTGTATTAGATTATGTTGTCCATAAAGTTTTTATATGCTTCTACAGCTTATGCTGTCTAGTTCGTAAGCATGAAACTTATGATTGTTATGCATGCTCTACAAATACTGCTAACTTGTGAGTAGAATGCACTTTTACTGTGGTATCATACCACAGTAACTGGTATCTATATGTATTTCTGTTGTATGTTCTTATTCTGTTTTGCGTTATTCTTCTTTTTATAACATTACCCTAATATAAGGCCTTGTGCTAGGCACACTTGTTAAGAAAACAAGTTAAATGGTTTTCTTTCTTATTGCTTTTCTAAAAGGCAGTTAATTAGTAGACCAAATAGTTAGGATGATGTGTCAGTTCCTCCAATGAATGCTTTGTAGTTAACAACGATGACGACGTTACATGAACAAATTACTAGATATCTCCCTTGCAATTTAAAATCTCTTTGTATCTTTATCGATTGTCTTTTATTGATGAATTTGTTTCTTGAATACTTTGGGCCTCATGTAATATGTGGGTTGGCAGAGAACTTGTTGGTTTCAAAGGATATCATTAAAATAGCTGATTTCGGTCTTGCTCGTGAGATCAATTCCGAACCACCATATACTGAATATGTTTCCACACGCTGGTCAGTATCTTTAAAGCGCTTTTTAAAATTCCTTGCTCTTATTCACGTTCGTTGTGAAGTGGAATCTGAAATGTAGAACTGCAGGTATCGGGCTCCCGAAGTTCTTCTCCAGTCCCCAAGTTATGGATCTGCTGTTGGTATGTGTTGTTAAATGATACTCCCTCTGACTCACAACTGTCCTCTTTGCCTAAACAAAGCCATGTTTTCATGTAATTTGTCCATGAATTATTCGGAAAGAGTGAAAAAGGAATTGCGTAAAACAAAATTAGTTTAACGAACACATGATAATCATACATGCAGAAACAGAAAGTTGTATATTGGTCTAACATCTCTATTTTTGGAACGGAGATAAAAATTTAGATGACTGTTTAGAAGGCATTTTAGCATATTTTCCTGGTGTATGATGAGACTGCTTTTTTTCCCAGATATGTGGGCAATGGGGGCAATAATGGCTGAAATGTTTACTCTTCGCCCTCTATTTCCTGGCATGAAGTAAATTCTTTCTCTTAGTTTTCCTAATCTTTTATTTTTTTTCTATATGTGATGCTAAGAGATATTCTGTTATTGCTGATCCAGTGAAGCAGATGAAGTCTACAAAATATGCAGTGTAATAGGAACCCCAACAAAGATGGAATGGGAAGATGGTCTCAAGCTTGCAAATGGCATGGGCTATGAGTTCCCAAAGGTTAGTTTGTTGTTCATTCTCCATGAATCTAATTAATCCTTGGGGTTTGTTTGTTTGTATATGAAATTACTTGCAGCATCTTCAATTTGATCAATTGATTGCACAATGCAGATTGTAGGTGTACATCTTTCTGTGCTAATACCTTCTGCTAGTGAAGAAGCGGTTAATCTTATTGGAGTGAGAACTTACTCTTGTGTTTTTTTGGGATAAGATTCGATCCGAGCATTTGAAACATTTGCCATAATTTCTCCTTATTCATTAATGTGTTGATTTTTTTTGCAGTCACTTTGTTCATGGGATCCCTGCAAGAGGCCTTCAGCTTTAGAAGTACTCCAGCATCCTTTCTTTCAGGTCATGCGCTTTCCTGCCTAGTGCCTTGTTTGGGGAGCTATTCTCTCTGTTTCTCTAATATTGTCCTTTAATGAAAAGTAGTGGTGATGATTAATCTTTTAATAAATTGATGAAACATACTGGTATCAATTTCTATGTATCAAAAGTAACAAAAATGAAATAGATATGCTAGGGTAACTTAGTCATTTGACTACGTTGTGCTTTAGATGAAAATAAATATGTAAATGTAATATTCTATTTGGCTCTTTTTTATGCAGAGTTGCTTCTATATTCCACCATCTCTACGCTCTAAAGCAAACCCCTTGAGAGCACCTAATTCTGGTTTTTGTTCACTCGATTTAATTCTTGTTATATATATTCCGGAAATAATTAGTAGTATCTCATGCTTATCGTTGTTATGATATATATTCCTAGTGGCAGGGCGCTGTACCCCTGGTATTGCTACATCCAGAGTGAAGCCTGCATTGGAACAAAAACCCAAGTGGTCCTCAGGGACTCTATCCCATTCAAAGCCCACTGGAAACTGCTGTTCTGTGAAGTCAAATGTGCCTCTGGGTACAGGTAATCTAAGAGAATTTTGTTCTTAAATTCTTAAAGTAGGCTACTGTTAAGCAACCTATCTTTTCTAATTTGAACTCCTAATGACCTGTAAATTGGACTTATTAATCTTCTCATAGGTGCACAAAGAAAGTCAGAAACAAACTATCAAGTACGTGAATTCTACCTTCATCTTTTACATTGGCTTAGTGTCTTGGTGCAGCTATCGACTATGACAACTTATTTTTTTTTGTTATATGTGGTTCAGAGTCCAACAAAGCCTGTTAAGTCACTTAAAGAACCTAAATACCGACCCCCAGCAATGAAAGTTCCAAGTAAGTTCATACCACAAACAAAATTCATTATCATTGTTGTCTTGTCTGATATTTATGACTAAAATATGTTCATCTGCGAGAGTATAGCGTTTTATTTGTATCATGTCCCTGTTATGACATTTTCATTTTAAGCCTCTTCTTTTGTGTCTGAGGGGAATATTAGAAGGTTTAAATAAAACAAAATAAGCTTTTGTGAAGCTCAGACTGAGGAGGTTTGGTTACTGCCCATTTACATGAAAATTGCCCGGGTGTTTAGAAAGGAAAATCTAGGCAAAGGGAGTAAAAAGAAAAGGTTGTAAATCATGGAAGAATAACAAGTTGTTTTAGATAAGTATTAAAGCCAATTTTGTGCGTGTATTATGGGAGTCCAAATATAATTAGAAACTGATGAGTGGTGATGTGCTATTGGCAACAGCGGCAAGTTATACTGTAAATGCTAGAGGAGTCTCAAGTGCAAGCCAGAAGCTTCCAAACATGAGCTTTGGTTCTTCTGCCAGACCTGCTACTATAAAGCAGCAGCAGCCATTTCCTCAACCCATGAAGGCTGGCGGTTGGCACAGGCCACCTGATATGTTTCCCAACTCGCAAAATATCCTTCCAGGAAGAACTTACTCGAGGAAAGTGGCAGGTTGAAGAGCCACTATATTTTCTGCTATTTTTTCTTTCTCTGTTGCAATAATGCTATTGTGTTGTCTGGACGAGTTTGGGTGAGTGAGCACGTTTTCCATTCAGTTTTAACTTTTAACTATACCACGAGTTGCAACTTACAAGTTGTAACATGGTTAATAAATGTACTGCTGCTTATTACTTTCATAGTTTGATGTATGAAGGCTGCTTTTGTGCTATTATTAGCATATCGTCCCTGATATTATTAGCATATGGTGAAAGGAAAGCATTGTGTTAGGAGTTTGGACCATAGTTACATAAATCGCTAGCATAGCCACGATCTGTGTTTCGTATCGCGCGTTCCAGATCGCGGAACAGTAGCACGCTGTACGCCTCTGGGTCGCGACTTCGGTAATCGGTACGGTGGTTTCTGGCCGTAGTTTGCCCATATCCCCCTATGCGGTACGATGCACCCTGCTGGCCGTTCGCACGTCTCCTCAAGCGAACGATACTCTAGCAGTCCAACATGCAGTCGGCTACTTCCTCCTTCCAAGCGATGCAGGTCGGCGGCTTTGTTTTTCCCAACAATGCGTTTTTTGCTCCAAAGTTCAAAAGATGATTCAGCATTCCACTTTTATTTTTTTCTTTATTTAATCATTTAATATGCTCAGCAGTTCAAACTTCAAACGACTATTCAACAGGGTGTTACTCCAAAAGTTTATTTAAGTTATACTTTTGTTACTTGTATTTTGTTACACTTTACACTTGAACTAATAGTATTTCAGTTTATGAAGTATATGTTGAACACTTAAACTTAGGGAAAACTGTCAAATAGATCCTCGAACTTTTATAAAAAAGTCAATTAAGTCTTTCTATAGGATGTTCTGTCCGGCCGTCGCGATTTGGGGCGTTTCCTGATGGATTTTTTTGATGAATTTTTTTTAGCATCTTATTCATCAAGTCTAGTTTACTCATACCAAATTTCAGCTAAAAATTCAATCGGGAACACATTTAAATTAATTCTTGAAGATAACTGCGCATTTTTGCGTTCTTGAATTAATTTGAATGCTTTCCCAGTTGAATTTTTAGCTGAAATTTGGTATGAATAAACTAGACTTGATGAATAAGATGCTAAAAAAATTTCATCAAAAAATTCCACCAAGAACCACCCCAAATCGTGACGGCCGGACATAGTCTCTTATAGCAGGACTTAATTGACTTTTTTCTGAAAGTTTGAGGACCTATTTGACAGTTTTTTCCTTAAACTTATGATTGCAATATATTCAATTTATGGATTGAGAGTAATTAGATTTTAGAATTTGGAATGTTACATTAATTGTCTAATATTATTAATAATATATTTATACTTTATAAATTGTATATGTTAATGGTACATTGTACCGTAATAAATAGTACATTAGTACACCGTATCGCGTACCGAATAGTGTACCTAGTCATGGACCCGGGCCGGTTCCAGTTCCGGGCCGGGGCCGGCCTAGCTTGTTTTTGGAGAAGGAAGGCCCGGGACCAGGGCTGGACTCGGTTCGGGCCCGGTTCGGACCTTGAACCGGCCGGGCCTCGGTTCACCAAAAGTAGGGCCTGGGCCCGAACCGGCAGGTGACCGGTTCCGGGCCGGTTCCGGGCCAGACCGGGCCGGTTCACCCGCCCCATTTTTTTTTTTTTGATTTTTTGGCTTCTCTTATTTAACCCCCTACCCCTCCCCCTCAACCCCAAACCACCCCAAACCACCTCAAATAGCCCAAAATACCTAATCCAACCCAAAAATTAAAAAAATTTCAAACAAAATTAAAAAAAAATTATTCCGGCCCGGATCGGGCCCGAACCGGCCGGGCCGGTTCACCAAATAGAGGGCCCGGAACCGGTATCCACCGGGCCGGTTCGACCCGAACCGCCGGTGGACCGGGCCACTGGGCCGGGCCGGTTCACACAATAACCGGGCCGGGCCGGTTCCGGTTCGGGCCGCCCGGCCCGAGTCCAGCACTACCCGGGACCGGCCCGGGTAGCCATCGGGTCCGGTCCGGGTCTCCGTTTTGGTCAATTTTTTTTTTGCTTTCCTAACCCCCCCTCACCCCCCCAAACCCCCCAAACCCCTGCTAACCATCAAGCCCAACCCGGGTGGAACCCCAAAAATGAAAAAAAAAAAAAATCAATTCGGGCCGGGCCCGACCCGACCGGGCCGGTTCGCCAAATACAAGGCCCGAGCCCGGACCCGCCCCCCACCGGGCCTAGGCCCGACCCGGACCCGGACCCGAGAACCGGGCCGGTTTCGGGCCCACACAATAGCGGACCGGGCCGGTCCCGGGCCGGGCGGCCCGAACCGGGTCCATGACTAAGCGTACCGAAGAAGCCTACCCCCTCCGTATCAGATTTTAGATATTCGCGATCTGTGATCCCGTTTTCGTTCCACGTTGCGGAACGTACCACGTCCATGTGACTATGGTTATTGGTTAGGACTGTGGGCTCATTTAATGAGTTTTAGTTTTGCTAGGGTTGGATTTGTTTAAATGGCAGTAGCTATGAGCTCAGTGTCCATACATACCCGTTGTTCCCGTTGAAGCGTATGAATGTTATAAGGGATAAGGGTCAGATAGGGCCTCGGACTTGGAAAAAAATGTCAAATAAGGCCATATTTAGGATGCTATGTCCGGTTGACGCCATTTGGGGTGGTTCCCGGTGGAATTTTTTGATGAATTTTTTTGAGAATCTTATTCATTAAGTCTAGTTTACTCATATCAAATTTGAACTAACAATTCAATCGAGAAGGCATTCAAATGAATTCTTGAAGATAACTCCGCTTTTAACTGCACAGTTATCTTCAAGGATTCATTTGAATGCCTCCCCGATTGAAGTTTTAGTTCAAATTTGATATGAGTAAACTAGACTTAATGAATAAGATTCTCAAAAAATTTCATCAAAAAATTCCATCGGGAACCGCCCCAAATGGCGTCGGCCGGACAAAGCATCCTAAATATGGCCTTATTTGACATTTTTTTTCAAGTTCGAGGCCCTATCTGACCCTTATCCCATGTTATAATTTTGTTGAACATAATCCTCTTTCAGTAAAAACAACAAATAGGGCTTGTATGATACGTAGTAAGTTGTTAATCGTTGAAATTTCGGATGATTGGGAGTGACAATTTAGGAACTACTAAATAAAACTAAAGACAAGGATTATTATTTCTGGGACTGTCTGAATGTAACTTCCTGGTCTGGTGTCATACAGATTAGCACATATGGGACTGATATTTGTACTTCCTACTAAATAAAACCAAATACAAGGATTATTATTTCATATGGGACTGATGTTTTTAATCCGAATGTAACTTTCTGGTCAGGTGTCATATATACAGATTAGCACGTACTTTATCATCCTTTTTAATTAGGAAAAATTGATAGTAATAATTTCAACTATTGACGGTCCGCTCATAATAATCCCAACTATTGATTATTACAGAATAATCCCAACTTTAGGGACCTTCCGCCAATAATGGTCCCTATGAATAAATTCTTGTAGTTTCTAAAGTGGATGAGATGAGATATAACAAGTAATCCCTATAAATAATCTCAACTTTTAATTTTTACGCTTAATTTCTATTTAAAACTCACTTTTTATAGAGGTAATATATGGTCATGGACCATTATTGGCGGATAGTCTATATAGTTGGGATTATACAAAAATAATCAATAGTTGGGATTATTTTCAGCGGACCAGCAATAGTTGGGATTATTGTTTTCAATTTTTCCTTTTAATTATTCTTATACTCCGTTATTAATTTGCTGTTTTATTTAAATAGAATAGAATAGAAAAAAATTTACTCAAGCCGCTGGTTTTAACTTTCACCTTACTTTTTTTTATATATGCAAACTAGGAAAAAAATGAAATGAGTGTTTTGAAGTGTTTTATTTAAAATAAGACTTTAAATCTTAATGCTAGAAATAGATAGTGGAGTGCTTTAAAAAAACATTTTTTTTTACCAAAACTTCATCAACATTTAGTACTTTTACACTTTCTATAAAACCAGTTAAAAAATTTCGTTTTAACTACAAGCAATCATAACACTCCCTTAGAAAAGAGGATTCTAGCGAGAACATGAACTCTTTAAAATGGGACTCAATAGTAAATGACAAATTTTAATTTGTACCTTTCAAATTATGAATCAATAGTTTAATAAGATGATTTTTTTGTTATAATTTTGTAATAGTAGTAAACAAAATCATTTGAATTTTGAATTGTTGCACAAAAGACATGCATCCTTATCGACGAGTGAACAAAATGAAAGTAATAAAAAATTCTCATTATAAGTAGTTGTCACACATAAAATGTCATATACTCCCTATATAATTAGACATTTAGACTTAATGTTATTTGTAGATCCTGACATTTTTTATATTATATTGGGCATTGAGGCAATGGGCTCTAGCCTCAACAGCACGTGCAGCCAGTAATCAGCAACAATGTATTACGCAGTACGAGTATTAGTAATCAAAATTTGAAGGGTTGCATTGTTAAATGTGGCACACATAAATGCATTTGAAAGCACTAGATATACACATGTAGGAACGGATTCAAAGCGGGAGTAGGGGGCAAGTGGGCAACTGCCCCATTACGTATACACACATGTGTATATATTTTATTTGCAATAGTTTTAGTGAGCATGCAACATGCTCACTAATAAACATGTTAATCCATGTGGAAGTAATTGATTAGTTCTACATGTGTAGTATTAGTTATTCTAATAGAGTATACTAGTGTAACACCCGGGGCATGCCCCGGTAGTGTTACTTTTATATGGATTAAAATGAGAAATATTGATAAAAAAGATACCAAATATTAATTATTTATATAATCAGAAGTTTAAATGGAATGAATGTTAGTTATGAATTAATCAAAACCAATTATAAATTGGTATCTCTAAAATGCCCGTCTGTATTTAAACTTTAATTTGACTTACATGTAATTCGATCATATTTTTAAATAGAATGAATGTTGTCCTCAATTCAATATCACTAAAATTTTAATTTCTCAATATATCTATCATTTTATCTTTTACTTTTTATTGACTCATACTCGGTATTACTTTTGGGAAGTTTAAATAGAATGAATGTTAATTATGAATTAATCCCAAACCAATTATAAATTGATATCTTTTAAATGCTACTCTGTATTATACATAACGTAATATGTATTTGTACTTTAATTTCACTTACATGTAATTCGATAAGATTTTTGAATAGAATGGATGTTGTAAAGTTAACATGGTCACATGATCACATTTTTGTCCACTGCATTTATAATTTATGATTGGTTTTAATTAATTTTACTTAATAAGTTACTAAAAGTTAACATGATCACATTTTTTTACTACTTCCATTTGGTTATATATTTGGAATTATTTCGTAATCTATTACGTTTAATAAAAATTCCAATTTGTTTAAATTGTGCATGAAATTCCATATTGATTTTAAGCCACATCAGTTTTTAAGAATAAACTTTAATCTATATCTTATTAGGTACGATGTATTAGTTATTTGTTTGATTGCTTTAAATTGGAAATTGGAATGAGTAAAATAATGGTTGTCTTAATTCTCGGGTTCAAATAAACTTCACAGCAATCAACTTTTAGTGGAGTTGAGTTTTTATGATATTTGTTGTGATTTTATATGGTTAGTTGTGCGATTTACTTGGACTGAAATTTGTTGGTGTGGTCTTATCTAGTCTGTTATGCTCTGGTCTGAACTGGTCTGGTTTGATAAATGTTTGGTCTATGTGTATTTTATAACCATGGAAGTCTGGTCTGTTCTGATCTAGTTTGGTCTGAGACTAAAAACAATCCAAATAAAAAATCCTACATTGAAAGTTTTTGAGTGAACAAAGCCTTCATTATATATACATAGTATCAGTTTCCAATAAAAAAGGCTGCTTTCACGTTTGCATAATAAGTAGAAATTGTCCTAAATAGGAGTAAACACTTTTTGAAATTCCAATAGGACTTTCATGTTTTTATCTTTAAATATGAGTAATTTTGTCAAGTTTGAAAAAAAAATGTCATGTTTAAAACCTAGTAATGCCAAATTTGGTAGAAATTTACTCTTATTTAGGGAATAAAAAACATGAGTTCTATTTTGGAATTTCAAAACCTTTTTACTCCTATTTAGAGAATTCTCTCAATAATAAGTTGCTTGTTCAATTGGGAGCTGATTTAAATAATTTGTGATGCAATTTTTTCTTCAAAATTTATGAAATGGTCGTATTAATTGTAATCTCCGTATTAAATTTATATATTCCAATTAGAGTCCTATTAGGTATTGACTATTGAACAAATAGCCAACCGTAAACAATTGAATCCTATTTTCATGTGTAAATGGTTTGGGATAAGACGGTAAGCTAAATATTCATAAGTTGAAATCAATTAAATGGTTTTAAAATATTAACAATATTGTTTTTCGTTGTTGACCAATAATAGAGTGACATGTCAGCTTTTTATAACTGTGTTTTACTATATAAAACAATAGATGATAATTCATTATATTAATTTAAATTAATATGGTTATCTAACACATTTACACACACCTTAAAAAACACATTTGCCCACATATTTTAGAGCGCGTTTGGTGATCATGTTTTTCATAATATAAACATATTTTAGAGCGCATTGTTTTCACGCACTGAATTGTGTAATAATAAGAAAAAATAAGGTTGAAGTTACTAATCTGTCTATATTGGCTGAAGTTATTGTAGAAGATCATTTTAGCTATTTTTCATACAATTTTTTCTTTATTTGGTTAATAAAATATATTTTAAATATAATATTTTCATAAATTTGCAGAATCAGCAATCCAGTCATTCCATCCAGAACATCATAAATTTCAACAGAATCAATCAATACAGTCGATTTAGATATTACCAAAGGTCTCTTAACATGATAACCTTATTATTATTATATATGCTCATTGGTGAGCATGCTATATACTCATGAAAACTATTGTAAATTTTACACATTTTATTTATATTTAAACTTAAAATACTAAGTAAACATGGAAGGCATTCATCAAGTGGAATATAATTGCGCATTTGCGCTGCATGTTTGAAACAATTGGCAGGAGTTTGAACTCTGAAGCTCGATCTCCGACGTGGCAATATTGCTGTATTTCTCCCCTTATAAAGGTTTTAAACTTGAAATAATTATGTATATATGACTAAAAAAGACGATTTATAAAATATGATTAATGACTAGTGTAGTAATGAAATCATAGTAACTTATGTTCAATTCTCCAACTTAGGTTACTATATATGACACTACATTGTAGTAACTAATAGTCATATTTGTGTAAATAAGTTTTATTTTAGTAATATTTATGTAAAAAAACCTTGGGGTTTTTCAAAAAATATTAACATAATAAAACTAATTTACAAAAACATTACTAATAGTTACTATAATGTAGTGTCATGGTAACTTAAGTTCAAAATTTGAACATAAGTTACCATGATCTCATTACTATTCTAGTCACTAGTCACTTTTTTTGTAAACACTCTTTATTTTAGTCATAAATGTGTAATTATTTCAAATTATATACTACGTCCGACTAATATTGGGACGACATGTGTGACGCGATTTTTAAGAAAAGTGATATTGTGTAGTTAGTATTAAAATGATAAAGTGTGATTATAATAAGAATGAAATGTAATCACCAAAATATAGAGAGACGGGGTATTTAAAGATAGACAAATCACATCAATCAGGAAATCCTTAAAAACAGGATGACACCCCACCATCCATGCAACACCGACTGGACGTCACGACGAGAGGATGCTATATTTCTAAACAAAAGAAAACAAAATGTAATTTTAAAAAATGCTATATTTCTAATTTAAAAACAATTTTGGAACGAGAGAAATAAAAAAATGATATTATATTTCTACTAGATTTTAGAATGTAATGACCGTAACCTGATTGAATGTTTGTGAAATAGTTTATATTAATAGTGTGAATTTGACACCATGGGATAAAATTGCTGAATGCGCCACGATATAACATGCATATGTATGTAAGGCACTATTTTCTAATTTTATTTATAAAAACAAAAAAATATTACTTATAGTGAATTAAAAAAGCATCTTTAATGCTAATAGAGTGCCAATTCAACAAATATTAATTTTTGTTTAGCAATTTATTATTTGCAATTCTTACGTGGCCCGTTGGAATGATTCCGAACTTGATGAAAACAATCAATTATTAGATAGCATGATGTTATAACCTTATTGGATGGAGTTGTCCAATAATAGAACAGACATGGTTATATAATCATGCTAATAATATGCTTAACCATATTTTTATTTTTATGTTTATTTTATATGCTTAACCGTTTCTAATTAGTATTAGGATGTTTTCTTTGCTAATTTGGTCTGATCTGAACTGATTTGGTCTTGTAAACGTCTGGTCTTTGAGTATTTTATACTACCAAAGTCTGATCTGGTCCCATCTGATCTGGTCTGGGCCAGAAAAACAGTCCAAAAGAAAACATATTTATTGCCACATCTCTCTACGCGTGATTTAATGGGGAAAGATCATGGAACCGCCGCTATGGAGTATGTGCTAGAGAATCTAGGGTTTGAAAGAAAACGAGTGAACTCTATTTTAATTCAGTTTTATTTTGTTTGTGTTTTTATTTCGAACTACATCTTGTTTTGCTTGAGTTTTTATTTACGGTTGGAGTTCTTAGAGTTTTGGTTCTAGTCGACTTAAATTTGTCTGTTTCAGGTTTAGTGAGTCAGGTTGCTTTCTATGAAGTGACTGACTCTAATTCTACTCCTATAGTTCACGATTGGATCTGTAAAATCTGTCTGAAAATTGTCTGGTATGCACTTTGGTTTTTAATATAAAAGTCGATCTTTTGCTATAGGAGTAGAATTAGAGTAAGCCAAAGTTAAGGATTTCTTGTTGGCTTGACGGAGTTGACGGATCACATTGGTTCTAAGAAGTAAGAACCCTAGTTATCATCTCTTAAGAACCCTAGTTCTCATTTGTAAACGAAACGATCTCCATCGTTAGTTTTAGAAACTTGGTTGTTTGGTGAATTACTTTAAATCATGTACAAAAGTAGGATTCCATTTGCCAGAGTCACAAGAATTAAAGGGGGAAAAGGCTGTAAATCTGTGAATAATAGCCTTAATAGGTTTACCCAATAAAAAAGAGAGGAATGAGCTAAAGATCCACATACCAATAAAAGCAAAACAAGGCCCTAAAGAAATTCTAGTCTTTCTTTTTCTGTTCTCGAAGTCATAATGTAATTACATGTACGCAAGTAAGCAGTAAGTAGTCTAGTTTAGTTTGATATAGCAATCAATAAATATAACAAGAAAGGCAAAATAGGCCACACCCCGCTATGCCACGCCATGCCGGGAGTGTTACTATGACACGAGGAACCGACATAAAAAATAAAATAGAGTTTCTTTTCGTTACCTTCCATGTTTTTAGTTACTCTTTCTCCATAATGTTTAGCGCGAAATCTAAGATTTAGATATCGCGCTAGGCATTAGGAATAAAATTAACTAAAAACATAAAAGAACACCGAAAGAAGCTTTTAAATTACGAATTAGTTTTTACATCTCTGTCTGTCTCATACCAAGTTTCTCACCATATGTATCCCTCTAATGTTCCAAATGTGTGATAGAGGGCTTGATTAACTACCTTTTGGTAGAACTCAGAAGCTTTCTTGTTTTTGTATTTTTGAAGTAGTAGTAGTCCTAAAGGTATGTTGCTTGTATCCTATCCCTGTTCTGTTCCCACCAAGCCTTGGCATTTACCTCCCCAAATTGTTCTCGGCTGTTCGATCAAAATCATAAAACGCTTTTAGCTTGTGAGTGATTAAAGAAATTAGAGTAAAAATGGAGGTGATCTGAGTGTTGGTAGGTGGGGACGATATATACCTGAATCTGACACGGCGGAGCTCACGAGTGCCGTCGGCGAGCTGACGGATGGTGACGTAAACTCCGGGCTCGTCTTCTTCCACCCATTCTGAATCCATCTCGCTCGCATTGCTGACGGAAATGGAAGCTTCCTCTCTCGAGTCCGTGGTGGTTCGGGACGAATCCATGGTGTTTCCGCCGTATCCTCCTGCTCCGGCTTTGTAGTAGTTCCTCTGCGCTGTCCCCGGAGTCATCATCGGGCTCTCCCTCACCAATCCCAGCCGAGAATATGTTGAATCTCTCTGCAATATGATGACAATGATGATATAGAGCTGGGTGGTAATAAATCCTATAATACCTCTAACGATAAGGGCTAAACAAAATAAACCATAAACATAATATAAATCCTTTAAAATAGGATCAAAATATAGTTAAAGTTCTAAAATATGATTAAATATGTTTCCTCCCTAAACCAGAATTTATATACTACGCCGTAGTATTAAAATCAGAGTGCATGGTTATTGTTTTGAAATGAAAATAATATACTCCGTAATTCCTACTTGATTTTTTTCATATCTTTTTTCTCTCAATGAAGGAATTTTCTCTGAACAGAAACTAATGGGTAAATAAGAGACTGCTTGATTTACGATTTGAGGAATAAGAGTGAAAAATTATCAAATCGATTAAAACCTCCTCAAACGGAGTATTAAAGCATGCCAAAATTGTGATTGAAAATAACAATTTAAACAGTTTATGCTCCTTCAAGTGTTAGAAACAATTATTGGAATATTTGCGTGAAAGCGTTGGAAGCATTTATGGGTGCTCCAAAATGCTCCTAAAATCAATTTCTTAAAAGTTTGATGAGACAAACTAAGGATGTTTTCTTTTGGACTGTTTTTCAGTCTCAGACCAGTCCAGATCAGACTAGACCAGACCAGACTTGACATCCGTAGTCATAAAATACACAGAGACCAAACGTTTACCAGACCATACCAGACCAGTTCAGACCAGATCAGATCAGATCATCAAATTTCAGTCCAAAAGAAAACATTCTAAAGAACTATTTCTAATTCTATTATATTCCACTTATTTTACAGTTTTAACTTTTGAAACTGAGCTCATGAAATGGAAAATGGATAAAATCGAACGGATAAACAATTCATTAAGGATTTTTTTGCAAGGAACAATCCATTAATGATGTATTAGTAAGCACCAAATTTTAATTTAATTAATTAAATACTACGTACAAAGTAATACAAGGCATAATAATGAGCTTACCCCATCCTCAGTACGGGCAGGAGTTTCAAATGCTTGCTGATTGAATCTCTGGACATTGTAAAGCTCCATAATTTTGTCATAATTCTCACCCCACCATCTCTGTGCTTGCCATTTGTCAAACATGTCCCGGCTGTTATAACCCCACAAAATTATTATTCTAAGAATAACAAAATACGGAGTACTCCGTATGTAACAATAATTACATACGTAATAATTAATTAATTAATTAATTAAAAATAACCTACCTGAAACGGATTCGTTTGAGATCATTGCCGCCGCCTTGAAGAGAGAGGAAAGTGATCTGGACACCGGGCTCCACCTGGGCTATCCACTCCTTGGGCTCACTGTCATCTTCAAGCCCAACTCCAGACTCACCCCCAATGGACATCTTCGAGTTCTGGAATCCAGTTTTAGTGTAGTCCCAAGCAGGTGTGGAGCTTGAGCTTGAGGGATGGAAGGGGTGTGGGACCCCCTCTGAGATTGTATCCAGGTCCGGGTATGGCCTGTAATGCCCTCCTTTGGTGTACGTTGGTGTGCTGGACTTGCATTTGTAGGCACCTGACACCTTCAAGGCTATATCCTTTATCTGCATCCCCAATCATAATCATAATAATTTCATTAAAAAAAATATAAAAATAATCCCATGATACACCAAAACATTAATATACAACTAATACACATATTAATAAGGATGTTTTCTTTTGGATAATATTCAGTCTAATCAGACCAAATTTAATTAAATCAGACCAAACTTAAACACACCAGATCAGACTTGAATACGAGATCATACATTTACCAGACCAGACCAGCAAATTTCAGTCCAAATGAAAACAAGTCCAAAAGAAAACATCCTAATACATGATTTAATTTTTCTTTTCTAATCGTGTCCATTGAAAGAAGTATTGACTGTCATGTTTAAGTATAAAAGTTTCACCATCAATGTATTTACTTGCGGAGAATCAATTATCAATTAAAAGAAATGGTTATATAGGATGTTTTCTTTCAGACTGAAATTTGCTGGTCTGGTCTGGTCTGTTTAAGTCTGGTCTGGTCTGGTCTGGTCTGTTTAAGTCTGGTCTGGTCTGGTAAACGTCTGGTCTCTGTGTATTTTATAACTACGGAAGTCTGGTCTGGTCTGGTCTGGTCTGTTTAAGTCTGGTCTGGTCTGGTCTGGTCTGTTTAAGTCTGATCTGGTCTGGGACTGAAAACAGTCCAAAAGAAAACATCCATAGACGACAATATGGTAAAAGTAGGATTTGTAACTATTTCCAAAGTAAAACTACTATATTCAATTAAGAATTAGACTTTCACACTTATCAACACATTATTAAACAATTTGACTTTCACGGATATCAAGATATAATTTGATCATCCGTACTTCTAATTGTACATATTAATAAGATACATGTAATCTCAAGATCAAACATTCAAACCGTTTTAATATTCCATCTCTCCCAAATTACATCCTATTTGACTTGGCACAGAAACTAAGAAATTAAAACTCTTTGGTTGGAAGTTGTTCCCATGAGAATAAACACTAGCTACCTAATCTCTATCCTTTACTAAAAAGGGAAATGCAAGTTTATAGATCACCTTAAAAGAACATGGTCAAACTAGGATATCTAATGAAGTCTGAAGAAAAACAATTCCACTTTATGAGCATTACTGAAAGACTAACTGCTATAGCTATTAGCTAGGATTATTGATTTACATGCTGAAAATTTTGTGCGGTTTAATGTGCTATAATTAAGCAAGAAGTTATTACATGAAATGTATACGTAAGACACACATTAATTAAGGCTGCTTAGAGCGTACAATTATTATTGTTACTAAGAAATTAAAGGTGATAATTCATATACAGTCAAGCCAAGTCATTTTTTTGTATTGTCAGAAGCATGCATAGGACAGTAAAAAAGCATATTCAAAACATAACATTGATGGAAAGAACGATCCACAAAGACGTACACAAGCAGGCGGGTCGGGTTAAAGAGGATGTAAGGCTGATAATTCTCTCTTTTATTTCATGAATAAGAACACAATGGACCACCAATAAAGATAAAAAACAATAAATTGAATGTTGTGTTACTGTTTTTAGCCCAAGGCTCAAGGCAGACGATGACTGCCCAAGTGGTCCGGGCCCACTTTAAGATACCCGATCTGTATGTTTATTTTTCTTTTTTCCTTTAATTATCTTAATCTGATTATTAAAAAAATTACTTGATCTACACGCATATAATCATCTCCTTTATCTTGAATTACAACTATAATGATAATCATACCCAATAATGACTCTACCGTTCAAAACTTTTCAGCCTAAAACCTTAAACATTGATTAATTCCGCAGTTGTGATCGATAAGACTGTTTTACTTGGCATTTTTAATGTAAAGTTATGATCTACCCTTCTATCCGCCAGGATACGGGGTCCCATCGGGCGGGCCCCACGGTGCATATAATAGTGAAATAAAGTGGCACGAACATTTCACAAACAAGGGCTAAAGAAAAACTGCAGAGAAAAGCAATGAAAAAATGCTAGTGTAGGGTAGCTCCAATGTGCTGCTTTGCATGCATACATCTCCCCCTCCCCCTCTGATATACGTATACAGACTACTATAGTAGGGTAGGGTGTAGGATTAGAACCTGCGCCGTCAGGCTTTTGACGGAGTCCTTCGATCGGGGCGTCCCTCGTGGGCCCTCCTCCCCTCCATCATCGTCGATCTTTTGCTTACACGTGATACACGTCAACATCGTCGATCACTGTGAAAAAAGAAATTGTTATTTCAATTAATAAATGTTAAAATTTTGTTCCGCATATAAAACAACAAACAACAACAGCTCGATCAAAAAGATTCAAAACCGCTCCTGCGAAATAGTACAAACGTTTTCACCAATTTATAAAGCAAAAAAGTCAGTAGATGTCTGAGCATTCATTTAGTATGGCCGTCTTGTTTGTTGTTTTGAGTATGAATGGATCGGCATATAATAATTATTCCCAACAAACAAACAAAAAGGAAGGCCGAAATCCACACAAAAAGCAAAAGCCTGGGAGAAGATAAATAGCATATGAAACTAAATCAAATCAAATTAAATTGAATCCTTCATTCATTCAATTGAATTATCAATCTAAAAAAAACTAAAACAAAAACGCATCATTCTACTTTAAACCCCACGACGCTCGCTCAGATCCATGTTTCTGACATCATTTCTTCATCAACCCGCTCAATCAAACCACCGAACATGTACGGAGTTGTAATTAACTAATAACGGAGTACAATAATGCATCCTTAACACTCCGTAAGTATTATCAAACGTTTGATAATTTCATCATTTCTTATTCTAATCAAACTTCCATACGTAGTACGATCCAGCTGCATTGCAGCAGCAGCAGTCGATATGTCTACTACCGAAAGCAACAACTCACCGCACAAACAGACATAAGCCCCAAACCTCCTTAGTACGCCCACCCAACCACCTCGGCGACAGCGACCACTACGGATGTTCCCCACACTTAAACAACAAACATGTACATTAAAACCATGAAAGTAGAAAACTAAACACTTATGTAGTACGTACCCGCCGGCCGATCGATTATCCTCTTCCGACGAATCTACGACGGTCAACCAGATCGGAGATTTGATCGATCAATTCCTCCCGCCAGTAAAGTAAGGTCCGCGTCGGTTTCGGAAATCCTGACGTTAACTTATGGAGTGATTATCTAGCTAGCAAAACATCAACAATAATCACGTAGAATGTTTCGGAAATCCTTACGTTGATTGATGAATATGTAGAGATAAAGAAGGAAGGAATTGAAGGAAGGAATGAGGAATGGAGACAAAGAGAGAGTATAAGTCGGGTAAGGGGAGAGGTATTTATAGCGGGGCGTGACGGCACTTTAACGGAAGGCGCGTGGGGAAGTGTGCGGGCAAAATGGGGAAGGGGCGCTGTGGGGGGTTGTACGCTGCCGTTGGGGAGTGGGACGGCGGTGAGGAATCAGCGGTATTGGACAAAAGGGTGTAAAGCGGTCTTGATCCGCGAAGACAAGATGGGCCCAGTTGTAAGTTCTTTGTGGTGGTGGGATGGCTACGTGTCAGCACGGTAGTGGACACGGACTGTGCGTGTGAGGACAAGGGTGAAATGATTATGGGGTTATCAATACGATGAGACGATCGAAATGTGATTATTATTGTTAGTATAAAAAGAAGAAATAATTGGTTGAGTTAGTTAGGAACAAAAAAGAAGAATTGGTAAGAAAATTTGCTCTTGTGATGATGGATGGTTAGTACACACTTCTCAGTAGCATGTCAAAGAAAAGGCAACATTATTGTCACTATTTCATTGTTCAATTCACAATGTAATGCTTAAAGGCCTGCCAATTTTTAGTTCCATTCATTTCGATATGTTTACTGAATTTCTTCTAGATACATCTTAAACAAACAAATTAATTTATCTCGTTTCATAGATAATTCATATTGATAACGCCCAAGGAGATTGAGATTATATGGATGCAGATGATTGAGTGCGCGAGAGTTATTTTTTAGTCTGATCGCAAGCAGTTGGTGGAGGATATTCACAATATACATAGTGATCAGTTTGAGTATGGATCTGTAGTACAAGATTGTAGAGATCTTGTCAAGTCAAACAACAACTTCTATGTCGTTTTTGCTAGGTGAGAAGTTCATAGGAGTGCTAATGTTCTTGCTAGAGCATCTACTAGCTATGCTTGCACGGATTTTTATCTATTCCTTATTGTATTAAGAATGTTATAGCTTTTCCTCGTTTAAAAAAACAAGCCTTTGTGTATACAAGAGTAATTCTATGGTGCCTCGGTTTGACTCGATATAGAGTCATGTGGCTCATTTGGCCTCTTCACATATCGGATTAAAATCAACTAAACTCATACTCGCATAAAACTAAATCATAGGGATATGTGACACAGTAAATTGTTTTTTAATGGGGTCCATTTACATTATGTGAAGTGTGACTGGCCTAGTGCGATCGGAGTAAGTGTGATTGAGTCTGTTTAAGTCAAATCTAGTCTTAACTCCGGGCTTGAGTCATGTTTGATTTTATATACTATATGAGATTGAAGTTGATCCAAGTGAAAAGTGAAAAGTGAAAACATTCTCAATGACCATAACCCTTTTCTTACACGAACTACTTTTTGCATATCATCTTACATAAAGGGTGTATAATCACGAGCACGATACTATATTCATGTATGAGACTAATGAGAGTTACGGTGCATGTTGGCCATTGGTTCTTAGTTAAGTTGTTCAAAATAATGTTTCTTTATTGTGACAATTACAACAATGTTGGATTGTTCGCATTTGACAAATTAAATTTGACGTAAATCCCTTCCATGTTTAACATCAAACATTTCGGGTTTGAATTGGCCTTCCCAAGAAGTGTCCTAGTGCTGCTCAAATTATTAATGTATTTGTGTAATTGCAAATAAGTTCTAATTTAAAAATAAAACATAAATTGTCAAATGTAGGAACATTTTTTACTCTCATAGACTACTGCTTGGGGGATATTTAACTAGAAATTTGTTAAAAGAGTCCTGTAACTTTGGCCAATAGTCGATATTGATCCTATAACTTTACATACTTGCAAAATACATCCTTCAACTAATTTATTTGTTCAATTCGAGGACATTGCCGTCGGAAAGTTAAATTTTGGCCGGAAAGTTACATGTCAATCTCCCATTGCTGTAATCTTTTCCTAACGTTTGCAGCTGACTTGGATGTGGCCCCTTTTATGACTTATTCCCAAACACATCATTGTGCTCTGATCTCCCAAATCCCCCATTAGAACAATAAAAGCACAAAACCTAAGAGAAGAACGGAGGCTTCGTAATTCTTGGTCCGGCTTCTCCACATATGGAAGGAAGGTTGAGTGTGTGTTCCTCTAAAGTGCAAATAATGGCTCAAGCAAGGATCTACGGAATATCATTGTGGTAAGAAGGCCGGTGTTTTAACTTCATAGACCGATATATGACGAGGGAAGGAGGTTCCATGTGTGCTCCAGAAACAGAGTAAGAACTCTAAACTTTTTAATTTTGTAGGTTTCGAATTTTGCTTGAAAAAAATTAAATAGTTTACATGTAGTATTACTTTGATATAAGAGAAAAAAATTCTAATGTTAAAGGTTGTAACAAGACATTGGAACAAAAATAATAGTTGATTAGCAAAACTAACGAGTTGTCTTTTACCTGGACCGTTTCTATGATTACATATGGAGGCTTTTAAAATTGATAAGTGTCAAGAATAAAAAACATAATAGCCCGAAGTGCAGTTTTTTCTTTATGTTCATTTTTACAATTTCATATTTGGAATTTATAAGAAATAAATTGAAGATGTATAATCTACTACTCCGTATTCAGTTTAATCTAGCTATTTTTTTTAAGGTTTTATGAAACAGAGAGTGTTTTTTTATGTGCAGGATGTTTTAAAATAATGAGTGTTTGGGAGGGAACCAAAAACAGGATCTCAAGTCCAGGTCAGCTAGGTCATATGAAAAAAAATATGAACAAGAAGCGCTGATGTGTTAATTTCCGGCGGAATTATTACTTTCCGACATAAATGTCCTCAAATTGGACAAATATGTTAATTAGAGGACGTATTATGCAAGTAAATGAAGTTAGAGGACCAATATCGGACACCACCAAAAGTTATGGGACTAATTTTACAAATTTCCCTTAACTATTTAAGTACCATACTAGCATGAAACAATTTCACTTTTTTTCTTACTCAGATCATATATACTTCGTATCTGTTTATAATGTAGTAGCTCTCTATAAAATGTCGTCCGTAGTAGTCAATTATGTTATTTATGTATGACCATTACATAATTAAAATGGGAAATAAAAAATCGAGTACTCTTTTTTTAAGGATGATATATCCGGTGAAATAATTGATCAATTCAAAAAGGTTCAGTTGTCCACAGGAGATCGGACCCAGAAAGTTTATCTTGGAAGGGCGGTAACTTAAAAAAAATATTTTTTGGGAGGGCGAAAATTATTTTTTAGTATATATATACACTAAAGAAAAATTTGTTGGAGGAGCGACTGCCCCCCTCGGTCTCTACTACGGTCCGCCCCTGGTTGTCCAAATACTTGCAAACAAATGTTTCTGTATTTCTAGCTATCTCTCTAGGATTGCTGTAAGGCAACGCCTAGCCTGGATTGATCGAGATGTCAGGGTGTGGAAGGGGAAATTTCAAGAAGTTTGGAGTATTTGTTCGTCATTCTATTTTTTATGGTCTTATTTTCATGTTATATTTGTTGAAGTTTTTAGGTTTGGGTATAAAATAATGATTATCAATTCTGTTAGCTATTATGTCATTAAAAGGATCTATATGGTCAGTGATTGTTGTGTCACACCCGCTTGGTGGTTATCGATTCGTATTGCTCTTTCAGGAGTGACCGTCTTAGAGTCTAGTCATATAATTGATTATATTACGATATGTTGTTAGCGATAGTTTTTGTCAAAATTGGTCTTCTTGAGTCTGTTGTAACGATCTACTTCGTGATGATTTAATATATGAGTTGGATTTGATGATAAAAAAACAAATGTTTCTTGTATTTGTTTTATAGTAATAATACGATTACTTTTTGTAAGATACTGCGAATCATCCATATTTGGATTCGGGAAAAGAGAAAATGAATCAAAGAAAAATAAGATGCCTACAAAATCCTAATTGGAACGAACAAAAGAACTGTTCTTTCTCTCAATGGTACATAAAATCCCAAATTTGCCCCTCCCAGACCTCTGGCGTTTGTCTAATTGTCTTTTCCGCTCGCTGAAAAAAACTTCACATACCCGTAGCTCCATAGAATTGAGATTCATTTGTTATAAGTAATTTTATGAAGTAATTTCAAATTTATAACTAGAATAGAGATTATTTACAAAAATTTAGCTAGTGATTAAAGTAGTAATGAAATTATCATGACACTAACTTACAGTAACTATTAGTCATATTTATATAAATAAATTCTATTTTAGTAATATTTTTTTTAAATATTTCCTAATTTTATTCCGCAATAAGATGTGCAATACGTACAACCATTATCTTTAAATTAAAAAATCTAACTTGAAATTCTCTTGTTAAATTAAAATATATATCTGAAAAACGTGTAATTAGTTATTTACACAAATAATTAATCTCTATCATATACTCCGCATTTTACTTTACGAGTACACAAATATTTTTTTGTGTTGTTTGTGTAGTTTGCTATGCTTATGTTATGTTTGTGAGCTCGAAGTATTTTTTTCACAAACATTTGTTATTTGTGACGTTGAGTTTAGTCAAAAGTTTTCATTGTCTATGTGTGAAAGATTGTGAAGTGTGTACTCCACTCCAATCATGATAATATATACTATCTCCAATCCCACTAAGATTGGGAGTTTGAGAAAGAGAAGGTGACACGATTATTAAGAAAAATTGATTTGTGTGGTTGACATAAATTGGTAAAGTAAGAATAAAATAAGAATGATTTAGAGTCTCACAAACTTTACCAAAATTGGTATAAGACAATCTTAGTGAGATTTCCCGAAAAGATAAAATGGGACAATCTTAGCGGGACGGAGAGAGTATATATGCTTTTATCTATTTGGTCTGTTGGAGTTTCAAAAAGGTAAAATTGAAAATCAAACTCCTTTAGTACGTTTTCATTTATTAGCTTCAAAAAATATACACATACACAATTTTGATCACATTTTATTTAGTAAGCATATTACATTAAAAATCATATTCACATTTTATTAATTTTGATCATATTCACATTTTATTTATTAAAGCATAACCCATTTTGATCAATTTTACTACGGAGTATTAAGCAATTTCATTAAAATCACTTCAAC